AAATCCAGGTAATGTACTGGAGACCCAGGTTCAAATTCTGCCATGGTAGATGGTGCAATTTGTATTCAGTAAAAATCTGGAATTAAGAGTCTAACAATGTCCATGAAGAGAACTGCCATACTTGCCTGACCTGCCTACGTTTGACTCCAGACCCACAGCAATGTGGCTTTCTTTCTGTTGTGGTACATGTGCATCACTGACTGGCCAGCATTTATTGCCCATCCCTAGTTGCCCTTGAGAAGACGGTGAGCTGTTTTCTTGAACAGCTGCAGTCCGTGTGCTGTGGGTTGACCAATGCCCTTAGGGAGTGAATGCTAGTATTTTGACCCAACGACACTGAAGGAATGGCCGATATATTTCCAATTGATGAATGGGTTGGAGGGAAGATTGCAGGGGGTGGTGCTCCCATGTATCTGCTGCCCTTGTCCTTTCCAGGTGGAAGTGGTTGCAAGTTTGGAAGGTACTGTCTAAGGATCTTTAGTGAATTTGATTCTTAACTTTTCTGGGTGATTAAGGATCAGCAATAACTGCACTCCTAGCCAGTGATAGCTCCATCCCACCAACTTTTTTTTCTAAAAATGAATTACCATTACAGTGCTTGTGGAAACAAAGTCCCATCTTCATAGTGAGGATAACCTCTATCGTGTTGTGTGGCCTTATCACTGTGCTAAATGTGACAGACATTGAACAGACTGAGCAACTCAAGACCAGGCATCCCCTCATGGCCCATATATCCCCCATGATACTATTTCCATCAAACCAGGGGATTCAGTAGAGAGTGCAAGGGGGCATGGCAGGAGCAACACCGGGCATACTTAAAAATGCAGTGTCAACCTGATGAAGTTAACAAAGAACATAAGCAGCAAGTGATGGAGCTAAGCGATCCCACAACCAACAAATCAGATCTAAGCTCTGCAATCCTGATACATCCAGATGTGACTGCTGGTAGACAATTAAACAATTCACTGATGGAGGATGCTCCACAAATATCCCCATCCTCAATGATGGTAGAGTCCAGCACATCAGTGCAAAAGATAAGGCTGAAGTATTCACAGCAATCTTCAGCCAGAAGTGCCGAGTGGATGATCCATCTCGGCCTCCTCCAGTGGTCCCCAGCATCACAGATACCAGTCTTGAGCAAATTTTATTCACTCCATGTGATATCAAGAAACGGTTTGAGGTAACGGATACCGCAAGGGCCACAGGCCCTAACGACATTCTGGCAATAGCATTGGAGGCTTGTGCTCCAGAACTTATCACACCCCAGGCCAAGGTGTCCCAGTACAGCGACATCTATCTGACAATGTGGGGAAAAAAAGCAGAACAAATCCAATCCGACCAATTAGTGCCCCACCAGTCTTCTCTCAATCATCAGTAAAGTGATGGAAGGTGTCATCATAAGGGGAGGCGATGGCTTAGTGGTAGTATCATTGGACTGTTAATGCAGAAACCCAAATAACTTTCTGGGGACCCGGGTTCGAATTCCGCCGTGGCAGATGGTGGAATTTGAACTCAATAAATATCTGGAAATGATGACCATGAATCCATTGTCGATTGTTGGGGAAAAACCCATCTGTTTCATTAAAGCTCTTTAGGGAAGGAAACTGTCATCCTTACCTGGTCTGGCCTACACGTCCAGACCCACAGCAATGTGGCTGACTCTGAACTGCCCTCTGGGCGATTAGGGATGGGCAATAAATGCGGCCCAGCCAGCGATGCCCTCTTCCCGTGAATAAATAAAGGAAAAATAACAATCTTGCTATCAAGCAGCACCTGCTCAGCAATATATGAAAAATACCATTCAGCCCATCAAGCCTGCTCCAGCATTTAATGTGATCATGGCTGATTGAAATGTTCAATGCCTTTTACCCACAATAACTCTTTACACAATTGATAATCAAAAAATACTACTTTAAACTCAAACACTGAGCCTCCAAACCCCTCTGGGGTAGAAAATTCCACCGTGCTCTGAGTAAAAACAAAAATTCTCCTCATTATGGTGCTAAATGATATCAATCCTATTTTTAAATTGTTCTAGACTCCCCAACCAAGGGAATGTCTTACCAGCAAGTGGTTAGGATCTGGAACGTGCCACCTGAGAGCACAGAGGTAGCGGATTCAATCAAGGGGGGAAATGGATGTTTAATGAACAGGAAGAATGTCAAAGGGTTGGCAGGAGGGAAGAGAGCGGCGCTCAGCAAATTGCTCACCCGGAGGGTCAGCAGGCCCTATTCTTGCGTTGTGAAGAGGTCAGTGAGAAATGGGCAGATGCAATTTGACACGGGTGGGAGATTGAAGAGAAGCAACATGTACAAGATTGGAAACATTTCACAGCAACAGGGACTGGGATGGGGGGTGCTGGGAGTTGTGGTGTTTATGAAGGAGAAAACATGAAGTTCAGAAACTATTTCAATGGTGACCTTGGCTTTATTAATAGAGGCACAGAAAACAAAAGCTTTTATAAAACACAGATTAGGACTCAACTGTAGTGTCTGTGTTCTATTCTGGGTGCTGCACTACAGTCAAAGCCTGGGAAGCAATCTTGAGTACACTGACTAGAACAGTCCAGGGGTGATGGGCTACGGCTATGAGGGTAACAGTGGAAACAGGAGCAAGAGGAGGCCATTCGATCCCTTGAGCGAGCTCTGCCATTCAACTAGAACATGGTTGAACCTCTACTCTACAATGCTGCTAAAGAGTCATACAGCACGGAAACAAATCCTTCGGTCCAACTCGCCCATGCTGACCAGATATCCTAAACTGATTTAGTCCCATTTGCCTGCATGTGGCCTCTAAATCTAGTATTCCTCCAAACATTTCCTGTCCATGTACTTGTCCAAATGTTTTTCTAATATTGTAATTGTACCCACCTCTACCACTTCCTCTGGCAGCTCATCCATACATGCACCACCTTCCGTGTGAAAACATTGCCCTCAGGTCTTTCCTCTCTCACCTTAAACCTATGCTTATTAGTTTTGGACTCCCCTTCTCTGGAAAAAAAGACCTTGGCTATTCACCTTATCTCATGACTTTATAAATATCAGCCTATGACACTCCAGGTAAAACAACCTCAGCCTTTCAGCATCTCCCTACAGATCAAACCTTTCTTTCTGTCTGTCGGTCTGTCTTCACCCTGCCTTCACAGCCCTCTCTGTTAACGGACCCAAAGACCCACCCCACTCTGAGTGAAGACATTCCTCCTCATCTCCGTCCTGAATCCCACTTATCCTGAGATTGTATTCCCCAGTTCTGAGACGTTCTTACCCAGGGGATGCATCCTTACATTTTAAAAAAATGTAAGGTGTTGCCTACCTACTATCAAGATTCATAGAATCATACAGTGCAGAAGAGACCCTTTGGTCCATCAAGCCTATACTACTAAAAATACACTACTACCTACACTAGTCCCATTTTCCTACACCAGGCCCATATCCTTGAATGTTATGACTCTTCAATGGCTCCTCCAAGTATTTTTTGAAGATTGCAAGGTTTCCTGCCTCAGCTACCCTCCCAGGCAGCGTATTCCAGACCCACACCACCCTGTGGGTGAAAAACACTTTTCCTCAAATCCCTAAACTTCCTGTCTTTCACTCTAAAATCCCCCTCGTCACTGATCCTTCGACTAAGGGAAGCAGCTGCTTTCTATTCATCCTAGATATGCCCTTCATAATCAGGTTCCCTTTCAGCTTTTGTCTACTCTACAGAAAACAACCAGAGTCGATCCAGCCTCTCTTCATCACTGAAATGCTCCAACCCAGGCAACATCCTGGTGAATCCCCTCTGCAAACCCTCCAGTGCAATCACATCCTTTCTATAATGCTGAGAACAGAATTGCACAGTACTCCAGCTGTGGTCTCACCAAAGTTCGGTACAGCTCCAACATAACCTCCCTGCGCTTGCCCGATCTCCCTAATCTATGCCATGACTATCAAAGACAAGCCGCCTGTATGCCTTCTTAACGACTCTATTAACCTGTTCTGCCACCTTCAGGCATCTATGGACAAGATCCTTCTGAACTTCCCAGTGTCCACCCATTCATTGAGTACTCCCTTGTCTATTCCCTTCTTTCAAAGTGCATCACCTCACATTGATTATGGTTAAATCCATATTCCAAATCAGGACATCTGTTCTTCACTGGAGAGGAACTTGGGAGTTGAAGGGTAAGGATTCAGTTGTCATCTTCTACATATATATCAATGACGTTGGTAGGACTAGGTGGGCTTTTCTACTGAGCAAATCAGGAGCTAAATTAATAACACGTCCATTAAGGTAATAATGTTCGGATTACTGCCCAAGTCAAGTGCAATTTAGTGTAAAGTAAGATTAGAGAGGCAAACACGTGTCTCAAAGATTGGTGTGGTAGAAATGAGTTCCAATTCATTGGGCATTCGCACCAGTCCTGGGGAAAGAGAGAGCCGATCTGTTGAGATGAGATTCGTTTGAACTCTGCTGGGACCAATGAGCTGGTGAATTGTAAAAGCTAACTTCTAAAAAAATCAAAATGAAACGAAGAGCAGGGGTGCAGGGTAGTGAAGAGGCAAATAATATAGTGCAGCGAAGAGGAGCAGAGAAATCCATTCAGACAGGGGCAGCAGAAATTAGAAGCAGAGTAAGTAAAAATGGTCATACCCCACATCACTCATTTACCCCCGTCCCTCAGTCGACTCCTCACACCCTCAGTAGTCCCCCTTCTTGCTCAGTCCACCCCTTCTCCATCAGGCCACCTCTCCCTCAGTCACCCCCACATCCCTCTTTCTCAGTCCACCTCTCAATACCATCCCACCTCTCTCGCCTTCAGGTCACTCCTCGCCCCCAAAAGCACACATCTACCTTAGTCCCTCACTCAATCACCCTTCGTCCTCTCCCTCAGTACCTACCTAACATTCCCTCTAGCCAAGTCCTCCCATTCCGACTCCTCCTGTATCCCACAATGCCCCGGAGGCCGGGTGCTTGGGGAGTTACTGCGCACGCCCAGTCTCCCCAACAACTGGGGTCACTGACCCGGAAGGCGTTGCTCGATGGTCCAGGGAGCGCGCGCCACGTCCTGGGCCGGAAGCGGAAGTGTAGGCCGCACGGACAGCCGGATCCCGAGCGCCCGGCCATGGCTCCGCTCCTTGTCACTACACTGCTCCTGGTCTCCGTCAGCTTTCTGCCCCGGGCACACTCCATCTCCTTCCACCTGCCCGCCAACTCCAGGAAATGTCTCCGCGAGGAAATCCATAAAGATGTCCTGGTGACGGGGGAATATGAACTGAGTGAGCAACCGGGAGGGCGAACAGACCTGAAGGTGAGGGTGAGGGTGAGGGTGAGGGTGAGGGGGCTGGGCGTTGTGGGGGTGGGAGGGGGCTGGGCGTTGTGGGGGTGGGAGGGGGCTGGGCGTTGTGGGGGTGGGAGGGGGCTGGGCGTTGTGGGGGTGGGAGGGGGCTGGCGTCGGGGTTGTGGAGGGGTCGGGAGGGGGCAGGGGATTTGTGGAAGTGGGAGGGTGTTTGGAGTGGGGTGGGGGTTGTGGGGAAGGGGGTAGGAGTTGTGGGGGATGGGGAGGAAGGGGGAAGAGTTGGGAGCAGGTGTGGGGAGGGTGGGAGCGGAGGGGGAGGGAGAGAGAAGGAAGAAGGGGTCAGGAGGGGGGATAGAGTGGAGGAGGAAAGGGGGGGCAGGAGAAGAAAGAGTGAAGTGGGGAGAGAGGGGAAAGTGGTCAGAAAGTGGGAGAGAGTGATACAGTGTGTGTGGGGTGGGGTGGGTAGAGAAAATGGCACGAATGTAAGTTGGGGGGGAGAGTTTAGAGGAAATAGAGTAGGGTAGGGAAAGGGTGGGGAAGAAGGGAGAGAATAATGAGGGAGGGTGGAAGGGGTTCTGGGAGGGAGAAATGGGAGAAACTAGGACAGCTGGAATGGGTTGGTGGATGGTATGGAGTGGTGAGAGAAAGGGAGGGATGGGTGGGTGGACAGAGCAAGAGGCAGGTATGGTGGGAGTGGAAGGAGGGATCAGTGAGAATGTTAGGGCTTTGGAAAATAGAATGAGCGAGTGGCCTGGGAGAGAGGGTTCTGTGCACATTAATCTGCCCTTTGGTGCTGCCTTCAGTTAAGGAGACAATTTGGTCCATGTGATAGTTTCTCACTATATCCCATTTTAAACAGTGTAAAAGACATTTAACAGGATCATTGTAAGATCAAATTTGATATGGAGCTACAGATAGATAGGAGTACTTAGGTGACCAAAAGCTGGGCCAAATTTAAAGCTTGTGGGAGAGATACAGCAATTTGAGGAGCAAATATCTGAGCTGATGCTCCAGGCAGCCAGCGACGGAGAAATTAAAATCAGTTGCAGAGATTGTGGAGGCTTGTGGACTGGGGGGGATCTTAAGAGACCAGGAGGGGTTTGGAGTTTATACCCAAGATTTTGAAATTGTAAGTTGTAGCATTGTTTCCAGGAGCTGACGTATATCAGGAACTGTACCTCAGGGAGCGTTTGGAAGTGGGCAGCCGGGTGAGACTCGAGTTCACAAATAATGGAACATGGAATCCCTGGAGTGGAGGGGAATGGTGAAACTGCGGGATGATGGCGACACAGGCAATATGGAAAATTGTACAATGACTCAATGCTTTAGATAATCCGTTGGAAACCCCTGTCTGGCTCTGATTTGATGCTGATGTTGTGGGCAGTCCAGTTGTGGTGCCACTGTTGCCAGGGGGAAAGAACCTGAGTCAGTCCCTCGGGCCTGGAAAACCTGGTGTTTGTTCTTTAATGGGGTGAAGTTACTGCTCCCATGAGACCAGGATAACAGCCCTGGTGACGGTGAAACGGCTGGGATAGCGAAGGTGTCCAGATTCTGATGCGGTTACCGATGATGGGGCTTCTGTTGTGAAGCAGTGTTCTTCAGAAGGATGGACATCTGCTGGTGAATGGGAAGATGAGCACTCCCAGGTGACAGGCCGGGAAGTTGGGAACACAGCCGGCTGAGAGCAGCCTCACCCAGGTGGCTGGTGCTGGAGAGTTGATGGGGTGTGGTGATGGCGAGGATAGTGTGGTCAACCTTTGTCACAACCACGTTGGGTGTCACTTGTGAATTTACAGAAAGCTGCGATGGGAAACATTTTAACATTTATTTAAGGTAATTGGGGTGTTGCTGGCTTGGCCCAGCATTTACTGCTCTGCAGAAGTCAGTAGGGAGCTTAATATTCCCCACCACTACCCTCTAATGTGAAGTGGGAAGGGTGTGGAGTTCCAGGCAGAATGGTGGAAAATTTTAGAAGTTGTCAAACGCTCCTTTGTTGAGAAAAAGGGAGTTTGGAAATGAGAGTACAGCGAGGACAGAGGGATAGTGGGTGTTTTCTTTTGGAAGAAGTGGTGAGTGCAAATGTGTAGCTAAGGGACGGGAAGAGACAGCACCTGGAGAGAGAGCTGAGTCGGGGGTTGGGGTGGTGGGTCAAAATCGTCAGCTATTGTGTCAGGGTGCAATAGCCTGTGGTTGAGGGACAATGTGGTCGAGTGGGAGGATCATGGATATAGTGGAGAGGAGGAGCAGAATGTATTCAGGCATAGGGTGTGTTGGGGGGTAGGTTTAGCCCAGTGCGTTATGGCAGTCTCAGTCGACTGTCATGGTGACTAGACTGACTTGATTGTTGCTCGTTGAGGGATTTCAGAAGACAGCTGCAAGGACGTGTTTTGGGGTGATCCTGGTTTCCTGAGCAGCAGTAGCTCATTCCTGACATGCTCTGACCATGAGCAGTGCATTAGGTGGTGGTCAAAAAGGTGTTTAGCACACTTGTCTTCATTGCGCAGACCTTTGAGCGTAGGAGTTGGGATGCCATGTTGAGGTTGTACAGGACGTTGGTGAGCTCTCTTCTGGAGTACTGCATCTAGTTCTGGTTGCTCTGCCTCCGAAAGGATATGATTAAATTGGAGAGGGTTCAGAAAAGATTAACCGGGATGTTGCCAGGACTGGAGGATTTGAGTTAAGAGAAGCTGGATAGGCTGGGACTTTTTCACTGGACCATAGGAGGTTCAGGATTGACAATATAGAGGTTTATAAAATCATGCAGAGCATAGATAAGGTGAATGGCAGATGTCTTTTTCCTAAGGTGGGGGAGTTTCAAGACTAGTGGACATTTTTAGGGTGAGAAGAGAGATTTTTAAAAGACATGAGGGGCAACTTCTTTTACGCAGTGGTTAATGTGAGAATGAACTGCGACAGGAAGTGGTGAATGTGGGTATAGTTACATTTGAAAGACATTTGGATGCCTACACGAATAGGAAAGGTTTGGAGGGATATGGGCCAATCACAGACAGGTGGGACTAGTTTAGTTTGGGAACAAGCTCATTGTGGACTGGTTGGACCGAAGGGTCTGTTTCTGAGCTGTATGACTCTTTTCTCCCTTTTCAGCCTCAGTGCTCATGTCCTCGTTCAGCTGTACTGTGCCCTGCCTGAGGTGCAGTGCCAAGAGCTGAACAAAGTTGCTGCAAATGGGGGGGTTCAGCCACAACTCTGTACGGCCTGGGATTGAAATCCGTCTCTTCCCTTTCTTTGTCGTCCCTTCCCAGGATTCCGATCCTCTCCGATCTCCCTGCTCCCCAACTTGAGTGTCCTCCTCTATTGTTCTGTCCTTGGCAGCTGTGTAGCAACTGGGTAATTTCTGCTCCTTTGTAATCCAGACCATTTCCACCAACAGAGAGAGACACACCCACAGACACGCATGCTCCCAGAATTGCTGACATCTGCGCTGAGATCCCTCTGCCACCACCGAAGTTGCCATGGTGATTCTGGGGACTGGTGACACCGGGGTCGGGCACGTGGGGAATTTCAGCTGCTCTTGGGTTACCAAGGCTGGTCTGGGTCCAGTCGTCGGGTATGAAGCTCTAAACCCACTTTGTTTGCCCCCTCCTCCCCCTCCAGGTGACTGACTCGTCCGGCCACATCCTCTACTCCAAGGAGGAGGCCAGCAAGGGCAAATTCGCATTTACCACCGACGACTACGACATGTTTGAGATCTGCTTCGAAAGCCGCCTCCCCCCAGGTGTGTGAAGGGGAAGCAGGGCAGGTGTGGGTGGTATCGCTGAGGTACGAGAGTCACGGTGACCAGGGAACAGAAATAAGTGAAGGAAGAATCCATTAACAAGGAAAAAAAAGAACGGGGAGATGCAACTCCATGGTTTTTCTCTTTGTTCCTTCGTGGGACCTTGCTGGCAAGGCACAGCGTTAGCTGTTCATCCCTAATTGCCTCTTGAACCGAGCGGCTTGCTTGGCTGTTTCAGGATCAGCCACATTGCTGTGGGGTCTGGCAACACTTGGGCTAGACCCGGTAAGGACAGTAGATTTCCCCTCCCTGAAAGACATTTATGAACAGGATGGGTTCTTGTAGCTGTATGTGGCAGTTGCACAGTTACTGTTACTCAGACAGGCTTTATGTCTGACATTTTTATATCTGGAGTTTTTTCAAAAATGCGGAGTCTTTAATATGTAGATTTCCATCTTGACCAGCCCTCTGGGGTGAGGAATTCCAAAGATTGACCACCAAAATGAGAGGCTTTTACCCTCACGCTGAGCTACTCTCTTTATTCTAACTCCCAACCCCTTCTCCCTGAAGCCTGCGGCTGACGGTCTTCCTGCACGTACCACTCCCAGGCGAAATCGTTCTAATTCGACCCAGTCGCTTCCTGACTATCTTAAGCCCAGGAATGGCAGTCACGGTGAGGAGGGGCCCACAATGCAGCATTAAAGATGGACATTGGCAAAGCTGGGAGAGGGTGAGGAAGGGGGTTCCAGGTCAGGATGGGCAGGAGAGGCCGCTTCTGTTAGGGGTTGGGTGGAGATTGCTGGTTAAGTGTCCAGAATTGAAGTTTAAGCTGCTTCTCCTTCCTTGCCTCCAGGCCATTTCCGAGTTCCCGACCAACTGATTGTTCTCAACACAAAACACGGAGTTGAAGCCAAGAACTACGAAGATGTGAGTTCTGACCTCTTGTTATCCTTTCCACTGGCAGGGCCATGAGGCTGGATCTGCACAGGAATGGACTGTTCGGTCTCCCTGATTCCTCTTTCTACCGTGCTCTGTCTCCTCCTGTTCCTGGATCCCTCTCCTTGCTCTTTGCTGTTGATTTGTACTTTCCCATCTTGGTGAGTTGTGCCTCTGTGTCCCCCAGTGTGTGTCTGCAGTTGACTGTGGCTCCTGTCTGTGTGTGTTCTCACTCTGGTCCCTGTAGCTGCCATCTGGCTCTGCTACCTTCCCTGTGTGTGGGCTCGCGCATGTTGCTACCCCAAAGAGTTGCTGTAGCCGCGTGCATGGAGAGCTGAGAGGGTGGGAGCCGGTGAGAGGTACCCCATAAGAGACTCCGCGATGCCCTTTTCAGTCTGTCTCCCTGTCTGTATCCAGATTGCGAAGGCGGAGAAGCTGAAGCCCCTGGAGGTGGAACTGCGGCGACTGGAGGACCTCTCGGAATCCATAGTCAATGACTTTGCCTACATGAAGCAGCGCGAGGAGGAGATGAGGGACACCAATGGTACGGCTTATCCTTCCCTTGAACTTGCGCTTTTTTCTGCTTGAGAGCTGCTCTTTCTCAGTTGGTGCAGCCCTCTGTTTTGACACTCCCGCTTATGGCTTTGACTCTTCCTAAAAGCACCTTCCTGGCATGCCCACGTTGAGCCAGACGTCTTGTTAAACGTGTGACAGTGAATATATACCGATAAATATCTCGCGCTTGGCCCATGGGCTCCAGAAACCTGCAAAATGGTGAACAACACGAGGCCTTGCTTTCAGGCCTCTGGGTTAATCCCCAATGCTAAAGGTCTTGACTTTTTTTTTTAAGAACCTGAATTTGTAAAGCACCTTTCACAATCTCTAGGCACCCTTTCCAACATCTAGAGTCATCTGTTCAGAACACTATTAGAATGTAGGTAATACAGCAGCTCCCTCGGGCAGTCACAAGATACCTATCATGTTTCATGATGCTGATCAAAGCATATGAATAAGTGCTCTCGGTTATTTAGCCCAACCTGGTAACTTGAGAAGGCATTGTAGAGCTTTGGGTTGATGTCTGATTAGGGAGAAAGCATCCCCTATACTCCCGCCACCACCACTGCCATTGCCCTGGTGTGTGTCAGATTGGCTCACCGCCCCATGTATTATGGGCGTCAGGCCAGCATCTGTGAACCATGGCAGGAGTGAGAATAATAGCAAGTGAGGACTGCCACAGCTGGTAGTGCGTGGGGTGTTCTGTCCTGTAAGGAGCCGTGTCGAGGCAGATAAGAACATAGGAGCAGTCCATTTGGCCCCGGAGCCTTCTCCGCTGCCATCGTTAGCCAGTCCAGGTCTACATGTGACTCTAGATCCGACAGCGACACCGTTAGACTCTAGACAAATCTCCAGATAATTGGGAGTGGGCAGTCAATGCTGGCATAGTTTGTGCCAGCGACATCCCACAAATGAATAATTTTAAAAGATAAATCATCCTTGTCAACTCCAGCAGCTATTTGTCCAGTCTGTTTGAACATTGAACCATTCGTCACAGGAATGTGTTAAGTGAACCTTTAAACTAATTGCATTGCACTGGTGTCTGTTTTGAATGAGGGGGCCAGGTTGAAGGGCACTGTGTGTTTTGGTTCCAAGGTACAAACAGTGACCAGACACGTATATGCGTGGGCAGGCTCTGTGAGGGAGCAGTGTCCAGGGTCACTCGAAGTCGGGGAGTGGTGAGCCATACTCAACCCTTCACCGAGGACTGTTTGAATCTTACTGAAATGTGCAAGATTCCTGAAGGGTGGATGCTGAAAGGATTGGGGTGGTGGGGATGGAGAGGTGTCTCCCATTTAAGACAGTGACAAATATTCTGTATACTGACGGGCATGAATCTTTGGAACACTCTTCCCTAGAGAGAGACCATTGAATACTTCCAGGGCAGAGGTAGATAATTCACGAGCAAGGTGCTTATTTGGGGAAAGTGAAGTTGAGGCTGCAATGCTATAATATCATCAAAACAGGGAGCAGGAAGAGGGATTGAAAGGCCTCCTGATCTGAATGCATATATTCATGGAGTCTCCGGGAGGAGTGTAATGAACGGCATGCTTGTTATCCTGGGAGTTGGGGTAAGGTGGGAAGAGTTGGCGGGAAAGTTTGCGGGAGGTGGTGCAGCAGGGTGTTGGGGGTGCTGGTTGTGTGGGGTGAGGGACAGGGGGAGAGCTGTTTGAATTGTCTCAACTCAGGCAGGTTCCGATTGTTAGCCAGACTGATGGCCCTCGCTCAAGATGCCAGCAAGAAGAAGGAAGCTTAGAGCAGTGAGGTTACAGACAGGATCTCTCCCCATATGGATTAAACTGTACTCTCTGTTTCTCTACAGAGTCCACCAGCGCCCGAGTCCTGTATTTCAGCATCTTTTCTATGTGCTGCCTCATCGGCCTGGCAACCTGGCAGGTCTTTTACCTTCGCCGCTTCTTCAAAGCCAAGAAGCTGATTGAGTGAGAGGGTTCGGCAGAGGCAATAGCGAGTGTGTGTGTGTGTGTACATGTGCGTGTGTGTGTGTGTGTGTACATGTGCGTGAGGGAGAAGTATTGAGCCCATGTGCATCTGTGTGCCGAGGGGATGGGTATTAATTTACAAGTGTATCAAATGCAGTGCTTCACCTGTTTGAACTGAGGGTTGTGTCTTTAATTTGTGGTGGTTTCCTGTCAGTCATTGACCCAATGATAGTTTCAGAGCCCAGCGTGGGGTGGGATGGGGAATGGTCAGCGCTCACGAGCTGGGACCCACGGCCTGCAATCATTATTCCAGCCAGTTGGTTTACTCCCCCAGGATGAGCCAAAAGGCAAACCATTCGTTACTTTATTTTTGCAAAGGCTCGGTAACATTTGTTCCACTTCCTGTTGTCTGCAGCTGGTGGTTTGTCGTTGAATTTAACAGCACTGTTGGGAGTGTCGAGGGTGCATTCTGGCTTATTGAGTGGCTCACAGGCTTTTGAACCTGAAAACTTAGTTTGTGGTGGTCTCTGTTGGTTTTCCACACTTCTGTACTGAATGGTGACCAAGGAGAGGGGCACTTGCTATCACAATGCTTTATCTCTGTTTAATGCTGCTGAATGTGGAGATACTTGGTCATGACTGCTGAATGTCGGGGGACCTGACCCTGCGCTCTGTCCCCCTCTGAAACCGTACCTCACAAATGGACCTTATTTGCTTCGGTGATCTGTGATGTATGTGAGCTGAAGTCTGTTGATTTGCTCTCTTTCTCACATTGGAAATCCCTGCTACACCTTTCGACTGCAGCCCCACAGAAGCTAAAAGAGAGGGAGTCTGACCATGTCCCATCTAATCTAGATGTGGCTTTTGAAAATTCTGATGGAAATGTAAAGGAGAAGGCCAAGTTTGGAGCTTTAAAATGGACCCGTAACTAACCAGCCACCTTTCCTTGTCTAAATTCCTATTGGAGCTGTCTCTGCCCTGCTTGCTAAGAGAGAAGCAGGGCTGGTGAATCTGGTCGGCCTGTCACGTGTCTGATTTTAGATGCTGGAGGTTAATCGGGTGCCCCTTCCATTTCCTTCGAGCCTCTCTCCTGATTTTAAATGTGCTGCTGGTGTGAAAAACCAGTTTCACACTGACTTAGCTCCCTGAGCTGCTCCCTTGTAACCAGACCCGCCGCTTTCATTGCCACAATGCAGGAGATGCAAAGCCAAGGCTGGTGTGGGCTGCGAGCATCATTACATCTCCCCTCCAAAGGTCAAGTCAGTGAGGAAGCAGAACATGCTGTGTTTGGGACGGAGGGAGGCAAGTGTTCAAATCAAATAATTTAAGCTCTTTGTTTTTACCAGCTGTCATCTTGTGCTTCCTTTACTTTCTCCCCCAGCCTTTATGGGAGTGACCAGTGTCTGTATCCTTACAATATGGGAGTGACTGGGTGTCCTGGGGCCCCCTGTCTCTGAGAGTGACCAGTATCTGTGTCTCTGCAATACGGGAGTGACTGGTGTTTGGGTCTCTCTCCTTGTTAGAGTGACCAATGTTTGTGTCTTTGCAATGCAGGAGTGACTGGTGTTTGAGCTCTCTTTGGGGAGCCCTTTCACTGTACCAAGAAAGAAATAAAATCAGTGAATCCTTTGAAATTTTTTTTTGTGCAGAGGTTCTAAGAATAAACAGAATTTGTAATTGAAACCTGGAGTCTGGTCTCTTTCATTTCCGACAGGGAAGCCTGGGCGACTCACTCAGGGCCTGGCTGTCTGGGCTGAGGGGAGAGACGGGATGAAGAGTGAGCCCAACATTGCCGTGCACAGCCACTCTGTCACCATGCAAGGTGCTAGTTTTGGTAAAGCAGCAACATTCTCTGCAATGCTTCAGGGCAGCTTGGGTCATTGGATACCAAGTCCTTAGCTGCCAGAGGAGATGGTGACTGAGCTTGGCACTGAGATGGCATTTGGCCAAATGTGGCATCAGGGATTCCAGTGCCACAACAGGAAGCCCATGGGAATATTAGCGTGGATGGAAGGTTTGGTAAACTAAAAGATGAATTGGGATAAGGGGGAAATTTTCAGGACAGCAACCTGTTATTAGTGGAGTGCCATCATTTATGCTATGTTAATAGCTTGGAGGAAAGTGAATGTAACGTAGCCAAATTTGCCAATGCCACAAAAATAGAATCCCTACAGCACAGAAAGAGGCCATTTGGCCCACAGACCCTCCAAGCAGCATCCCATCCCTGTAATTCCACATTTCCCAAGACTAATTCACTTAGCCTACACATCCCTGCATCCTACAGGGCAATTTAGCATAGCCAGTCCACCTAACCTGCACATCTTTGGACTGTGGGAGGAAACTGGAGCACCCGGAGGAAACCCTGTGCAGACGCTGGGAGAACATGCAAATTCCACACCGTCAGTTGCCTGAGGGTTGAAATGGAGAAAGATGCAACGCGCAGGGATTTAAGTTCCTCGAATGTGAATCTCGAAAAGCCGACATCCAATTTCAAAAGGTGACAGGCAGGGTTGTAGGATGTTGGCCTTTAATCAAAAAGGGAATAGAGTATAAAAATAGAGAGGCTCGATTAAAAATCTATACATGGCACTAATCAGACTACAACTGGAACACTTGAACAGTTTGAGACCTCTATCCAAGGGAAGGTAGACTGGCATTGGAGGCAGTCCAGAGAATGTTCATGAGCAGATCACAGGGAAGGAGGGAATCTTTTATGAGGAGAGGTTGAGTAGATTAGGCCTGTACTCATTGGATTTAGAAGAATAAGAAGCAACTGTATTGAAACAGACCAGGCTCATGGGGAGTATAACTGGATAGATACTGCACTTTTTTCAACGTGGGAAAGTCTCAGACCAGAGGGTATAATCTCAGAGGTTATCGATACTGATGAGGATTATTTTCCCTCTGGGGGTATGATTCTTCTGTTGAGGCTGGGTCATGAAGTATATTCAAGTCTGATGTAAAGTTTTAATCAGTAAGAGAATCAAGGATCAGGAGGAGAAAGCATGCAAGTGGAGCTGAAGATTATCAGATCAGCCATGATCTCATTGAAAGGCAGAGCAGACTCAATGGGCTGAATGGCATTCTTATGGTTGGAAAACCCAAAATTTTTTGATTAAAGGTTAGTTTTCTGCAGTATGAGCAGGGGTTGCCACTGAGAAGACTATCAGAGAGAATGTCAGATGGTCAGAAGGTCAGAAATGGCTGAGACACTTGGCAGTCTAAATGACAGGTATTGAGTGTTGAGAGACCATCTTTTGTAGTTATTATGTCCAATCAAAGCCGGAGAAAGTGCTCCTGGAGCTGAAGCTGTGCCTCAGCCTTGAAGGACTTAGAAGTCGGAAGGGAGGTGGGTTCTTCAGAGATCCTGGGTGTTTGGGAAGTAATGCACCTTTGAGAGTGTGAGTGGATGATAACAGCAGGCTGTGTAGTGGGTGGTAGCAGGAGATGACCGAGCACTGGACAGGGGATTGAGAGACTGGAGAGATGGCAGGGAAGGGTAAGAATGGAGGGAGCAATGTGGGTGGGTGGGCATAGAGAACAGAGTGGGAGGGGAAGTCTTGTGAGAATGAGCAGGGATGTGTATGACAGGGAGAACAGGGGTAGACAGGGGGAGGGGAGTCGGATATTGGGGGAGAGCAGGGATGTGTATGGGGCAGAGACAGCAGTGTGTGAGGGTTGAGCAGGGGTTTATGAGGGGAGGGGGAGAGCAGGGTGTATGAGAGGGGAGGGGAGCAGGTGTGTATGGGAGGTTGAGGGAGAGCAGGGGTGAGTGGTGAAAGGAGTGGGGTGCAGAAAGACATAATGGGGATGAGAAGACTGGTTGGGGATTTGGGACGAGTGAAGTGGGGAGAGGAGATCATGGTGAGGGTGGGATATGTGAAAGAAAGGCACGAGTAGAGAATGAGAAACTGACAGATGAAGGGAACGGGGTCAGTGACTATGTCACATTGACTAGCAAAAGGATCTGATGGCATTCTACAGAACCAATCCCCAAACACACGATTCATTTCACTTTCCAGACATGAATTTGTAAAAGATCTGTATTCTGCAAGCACACATTTATCTCTTGATACACCTCACAGCCAGCCCATGCTCACTACCTCCCTGCCCCCATCACATTAATCTGCACCTTCCCTCCCTGTGCCAATATCACTCCTGGTCAAGTTCCACTGCTCCCCAGAGCTACCACATTCGCTCTTGGGGGAAACTTGGTCCCAGAGACTCTACTGTTGAAATATACATATTTTTTTCTCAAATGTCTACGCGTGGTCATTGTGTCTGTATTCTGACCAACACGGAATAGATGTTTGTTAACAGAGAGGGGAGCTGTCCACCCCACAAGCTCTTTGCTTGCTGTCTACCAGCCGCATTCTTCAGTCAGTGGGATGTTGCTCGTGACCAGGGACAGATCTTCATCCACGTAGACAATCGGGATCCATGTTGTCTTCACGGCTTTGCAGCAGCTCCTCTATGGGGGTCCAGAAGGAGAAAGGCACTCAGTTATATATCAACAACAATAGGTTCCAAGTCTAGCCCCTTTACAATAACATAGTTCACCCTCTGGTCCAGTAACTGGGTTCAGGGTCGGCTGCTATATCTAAGAAGGATGAGGACTCTGCTCTTGGGCAATAATTTGTAAAATAGGAGGATACGGTACACATGTATTTAATTGAGGGTGATGGATTAAGGGACAATGTACTGAGTCTTTAAGTTGCCCAAAGGAGTTGATGGAAATTATGACCTTGTCACAGGGAGGGTGGGGGGGGGAGGAGAGAGAGGGGAGGGAATGGTGAAGTGGGTTCAGGGGAGTCCTGGACAACCTGATATAACCTGAAAACACGCGTCAGGCTGTTCAGAGGTGATAAAAACAGAAGTTGCTGGAAAAACTCAGCAGGTCTGGCAGCATCTGTGAAGAAAAAATCAGAGTTAATGTTAAGGAAGGGTCACTGGACCCGAAACGTTAACTCTGATTTTTTTCTTCACAGACGCTGCCAAACCTGCTGAGCTTTTTCAGTGACTGCTGTTTTTGTTCCTGATTTATAGCATTAACAGTCCTTTCGGTTTTTGTTCAGAGGTAATGTCAGGAATCACCCCCTCATGTGATAGGGACTGGTACACTCTCCACAAAAGCTTGTGAAGGGCGGAGAGGCAGAGGAAATGTGAAATCCTGGAGTCACTCTACACTGTTCCCATCGAATACTTTCAGGTTAGATATAGAGTGAAGCTTTCTCCACTGATTTGAACTGAAAGTAATGTTCCTTCGACACCGTCCCCATCAAACAGTCCCAGGACATGTACAGCACAAGGTTAGATACAGTGTAAAGCTCTTTCTACACCGTCCCCATCAAACACTTCCAGGACTGTGACAGCACAGGCTTAAACGCAGAGTAAATCACTTGCTACTCTTTTAATCTGAAAGCAAACTGAAAATAAAGGTTCACCGATACTGTCCTCAACAAACACTCCCAGGACAGGAAAAGTATGGGGTTAGATACACAGTAAAGCTCGCTCTATATTATCCACATCAAAAACTCCCAGGACAGGGTCAGCATGGCGTTAGATAAAAGGTAAAGCTTCGTCTACTCTTTTGAACTGAATGAAAGGCTCACTTGACACTCTCCCATCTAACACTCCGAGGACAGGTGCAGCACAGGGTTAGATACAGAGCAAAGCTCTCATGACACTGTCCCCATCAAACCTTACCAGGACAGAGACAGTTTCTTGTTGGACACACAATACAGCTCTCCCCACTGTTTTGAAGTAATATTCCTTCGACACTGTTCCCATCAAACAATTCCAGGACAGGGACAGCACAGGGTTAAACACAGAGTAAATCTCTTTCTACTCTTTTAATCTGAGAGCAAAATGAAAGTAAATGTTCCCTAAAACACCACCAGGAGAGGGAAAGTGCAAGGTTTGGTACAGAGTAAAGCTCTCTCCACTCCCACACCATCTTCAACAAACATTCCCAGGACAGGTACAACACGGGGTTAGATACAGAGTAAAACTTCCTAGACGCTGTGAAACTGAAAGTAAAGCTGCCTCAACAGCCTCCCCATCAAACACTTGTGGGATAGAGACTATGCGAGGTTAAATACAGAGTAAAGTTCCCTCACTCTGTTGAACTGAAAGGAAAGCTCACTCAACACTATCCCATCTAACACTCCTATGACAGGTACAGCACAGGTTAGATATTGCGTGAAGCTCCCTCTCTTCTTTTGAACTGAGAGTAAAGCTTCCTTGGCACTGTACCCATCAAACACTCCCAGGACAGGTCTAGAACAAAGTTAGATACAGAGTAAAGATCCATCTACACTAGCCCCATAAAATATTCCCAGGATAGGGACCGCACGAAGTTAGATGTAAAGTTTCCTCACCATTGACCCTATCAAACACTCACAGGATAGGGGCATCATGGGGTTAGGTACAGAGTAAAGCTTCCTCAACACAGTCTCTATCAATCACTATCAGGACAAGGACGGCACAGGGTTAGATACAGCATAATGCTTCCATCTAAACTATCCCTATCAAACACTCTCAGGACCAGGACAGCACAGGGTTAAATACAGAGTAAAGCTCGCTCCACTCTTTTAAACTGGAACTAAAGGTTCCTGTATACAGTCCCATTTAAAAAAAAATACTTCTAGGTCAGGTACAGCATGGGATTAGATACAGAGTAACGAGCCTGGGACTCCTCACCATTAGAGACAATTAACATCTCTATCTAGGTTTTTGTAGGAAGCGTTTCCCTGGTGGGTGGCGAAAGAATTAAGGGGTGAGCTGGTGGACGTGACCATGTGCGATGCTCTTTGGAGGGTCAGTGCTGAGTCGATGGGCAGAATGGCCTCTTTCTGCACTGTGGGAATTCTATGATTCTATGTGTCCCTCTTGGAGTCCTGACCCATCATCACTGAAACTAATGATATGGTCTTTATCACATTGCCCCCATAGGAGCTTGCTGCGCACAAATTAAACGTTCATTAGATTAATTCTAGAAAAGAAAGGCTTGACTAATGAGGAGAGGCTGAGCTGTATAGGCCTATCCTCACTGGAGTTCAGAAGAACGGAAGGAAATCCAATGGAGATATACTGGATGCTAAAGGGGATTGACAATGCAGAAGTAGAGAGAATGTTTCCTCTTGATAGGCAATCTAGAACAATTCAAGACAAGAGATACAAAAGAGTGATCAGGAGGCATGACCTCTCTCAAAGGGTCATGAATCTGTGGAATTCACTACCCCAGAAAGTGGTGGATGTCGGAAATCAGAGTAATTTTTAGGAGGAGATGGACAGGTTTTTAATTAGTAAACGGCAGGGCAGGAAACTGGAGTTGAAGCCAAGTTGGTGCAGGGGAGACGGACACACATTTTTGGATCATTGGATCCCTTAGAGTCATAGAAGCATAGAGATATACAGCACAGAAACAGACCCTTGGGTCCAACTTGTGCATACTGACCAGATATCCTAAATAAATCTAGTCCCATTTACCAGCATTTGGCCCATATCCCTCTAAACCCTTCTTATTCATACATCCATCCAGATGTCTTTTAAATGTTGCAATAGTACCAGCCTCCAACTCTTCTTCTGGCAGCTCATTTCATAAAAGCACCACCCTCTGCAAGAAAATGTTGCCCCTTAGATCCCTTTTAAATCTTTCCCCTCTCACCTTAAACCTATGCCCTCTAGTTTTGGACTCCCCCACCCCAGGGAAAAAACCTTGTCTATTTACCCTATCCATGCTCCCCCATGATTTCACAAGCCTCTATAAGATCACCCCTCAGCCTCTGACACTCCAAGCTCTCCCTACAGCTCAAATCCTCCAACCCTGGCAATATCTTTGTAAATCTGTTCTGAACGCTTTCAAGTTTCACAACATCCTTCCTATAGCAGGAAGACCAAAAACGCACACAGTATTCCAATAGTGGCCTAACCAATGTCCTGTACAGCTGCAACTTGACATTCCAACTCCTATACTCATTGCACTGACCAATAAAGGCAAGCGTACCAAATGCCTTCTTCACTATCCTATCTACCTGAGACTCCACTTTCAGGAAACTATGAACCTGCACTTCAAGGTCTTTTTGTTCAGCAACACTCCTCAGGACCTTACCATTCAGTGTATAAGTCCTGCCCTGATTTGCCTTTCCAAAATTAAATTCCATCTGCCACTCCTCAGCCCAATGGCTCATCTGATCAAAATCCTGTTGTACTCTGAGGTAACCTTCTTCGTTGTCCAATACACCTCCAATTTAGGTGTCATCTGCAAAATTACTAACCATGCCTCCCACGTCCACATCCAAATCATTTATATAAATGATGAAAAGCAGCGGACCTAGCACCAATCCTTGTGGCACATCGCTGATCATAGGCCTCCAGTCTTAAACGTAACCCTCCACCACCACCCTCTGTCTTCTACCTTCAAGCCAGTTCTTTATCCAATGGCTAGTTCTCCCTCTATTCTGTGTGATCTCACATTGCTAACCAGTCTACCATGCAGAACCTTGTCAAACACCTTACTGAAGTCCATATAGATCACATCCACCACACTGCCCTCAGCAATGCTCTTTGCCACTTCTTCAAAAAATTCAATTGAGTTAGTGAGACATAATTTCCCACACACAAAGCCATGTTGACTATCCCTAATCAGTCACTGCCTTTCCAAATACATGTAAGTCCTGTCCCACAGGATTCCCTCCAACAACTTGCCCACCACCAATGTCAACCTCACCGGTGTATAGTTCCCTGGCTTTTCCTTATCAGCTTTCTTAAATAGTGGCACTACGTTAGCCAACTTCTGGCGCCTCACCTGTGTCAATCGATGATACAAATATCTCAGTAAGGGGCCCAGCAATCACTTCCGTAGCTTCCCACAGAGTTCTAGGATTCACCTGATTAAGTCCCGGGGATTTATCCACATTTATCCACCCTTTACGCGTTTTAAGACGTCCAGCACCTCCTTCTCTGTAATATGGACATTTTTTAAGATGTTGCTATTTATTTCCCCATGTTCTTTATTGTCCTCCACAGTAAACACTCATTTAGTAAAGACTCAGAGATAGTAGGAACTGCAGATACTGAAGAATCTGAGATAACAGGGTGTAGAGCTGGATGAACACAGCAGGCCAAGCAGCATCAGAGTAAAGACTCGTTTAGTATCTCCCCCATCTCCTGCAGGTTCCACACATAGGTGGCCTTATTGATCTTTAAAGGGCCCTATTCTCTCTGTAGTTACTCTTTTGTCCTTAATATATTTGTAAAATCCCTTTGGATTCTCCTTAAACATATCTGCCAAAGTTTTCTCAGTCCCCTATTTGCCCTCCTGATGTTCCTCTAAAGTATACTCCTACTGCCTTTATACTCTTTTAAGGATTCACTCGATCCCTGCTGTCTATACCTGACATATGCTTCCTTCTATTTCTTGGCCAAAACATCAATTTCTCTAGTCATCCAGCATTTCTTACACCTACC